TGCTTAGAATGTAAACGCCTTTTTTGAATCTTATCATTCTCTGCGTCCTTCTATCTGCAAATTATGATAGAATTGTACATTTTTTTTCGATAGTGGTTACTTTTTGGTACATGCCTTGTTTGCTTTAACATCAGCGTATATTTGCAGGCAAACGATGGGGACTAAATTGTCCGTTTCGCTCGAGGGCGCCACCAAACCTGAGATTGCACCGCGAGTCGATCGTCCGCCCACATTTGATCCTCAAGCTGGTTTTACAAAGCCGAGAAAGGTGCGCGTCAAAGAGGATTCATATATGTTTTGAGAATAAGGAAGTAATCACAATTAACATCCTTTTGAGTCTCTGAAGGGCTTTCCTTAGGATCTACTTATAGCTACTTAATAGCGTGGGCGAAACAGCGCAGACGACGGTCAAAGAAATTTTATTTGTAATTTTTGTAGAAAATTTGTATGTGCTTCTGCCATAACACTCTTAGAAAAGTAAATCGTTTCTGTTACGACTTCACGTATCATTATTTTTAAACTCTTTTGCAGTTTATCTAATTTGCTAGATTGATTTTCATATTGTACCAAGAAAACAACTCAGTTATCGCACTAAGGTGCAGCAATCTGAACTAGAACTGTGTTATACATTCGCAGATTGTGGAGGAGATTTGATAAAAACTGGTATCAATCCGCGGTCAAGTTTGTTATCTTGTTAGCTTATATGAATAAAATGCGGCATCTGCCGACTAGGTTTTGGCAGAGTTTTAAAGAACAGTCGTTTCTTTTCTTGCAATGTTTTGGCCATTATGTGCATATCAACGGCGCAAAAACTATTACCTCTAGTCTTTTTTTTAGGTTAGAGAGATGAAGGTGTCATGGGAGGAAATGAATCAATATAATTTAAAGCCAGGTCAACGGGATTACTGCGCGCATTTACTGATCCCACTTATTAAGTGTCAGGTAATTTCAAAATCGCTTATTTCAGTTAGTTAATCCGAGCTGCTGATTTATTCTTTCAGAAAGAAAACGCTCCTTTCGCAGGACATTTATGCGATTCACAGCGAGTCGCATGGGACAAGTGCGAATATGAGGACTATATCATGCGTATCAAGGTTTGTCGAGTATCGTTTAATTTTTTTCAGTTCTTTTTTTTGGTCATATTTTCTCATTGCTTCTTGTTTCGTTTTCTGTAATACTCTGTATACATCAGTTTCATCGTTATGATCAGTGCTTTTCAGTTATTATTCGTCTTGACATCTCTTTTTCAGGAATTCGAACGTGAACGTCGTCTCTTGATGCGAAAACAACGCAAAGAAGCAATGGCCGCCGCTTAAAGCCTTCATAGAAATAAAAGTAGATATAGAAGAGTTACCTTCGATAAGTATCCTTGGGTTGTCATGTATGTAGACATAAATGCTTCTTCCTACATGCTTTTTAAATCATTCTCGTATCGAAACCTTATCGAGTTGCTACTTTTTGATACTATAAGGAAACTTACACTTTTGAATGTTTATACTCATAGAGCATGGAGAGGTTAGTGGAAGAATGTGAATTAAACTGCGCGGAAGAAAAGCAAATTCAGGTGATTTTACCTTTTCTTTCCTTGAACGTACGTAGTTTTCCCTTCCTTAGCATACTTGTTTTGATTTTATTTTGGTTTTGTGTTGTTTTCGCTATTATTCGCAGCCCGGTTATTATTTTGTCAAAATTATGCGGGAACCCTAATAACATCTGAACTTTCTCGCTGTTTTCCACAAGCAAGACAACATTTATTATTACGCAGAGAATGTTTTAGATCGGCTGCATGTAAAAAGAGATA